CAGCTCTTCACATATTCACATTGCCACCTTGTTCTCACTTGGCTAACAGGACTTTAGATTCTCATAGGAAAGGAGGGGCTGAAGATGGGTTGGTATCATCTCCAATGCCACGTGGGCACTGGAGGTGGAGTTTGAAACACCACCAGAGAAAACTCTGGGAAAGAGAAGCTTGAGTCGGAAGACTGCTGTGTGGCACTCCCCGAAGAAGTGCACTAAACACCAGAGGAAAGCAAGATGCCAGGGGACAACTGCATACCAACGCAGAGAGCATGGTGGGGTGCTGGAAGATGTGGAAGATGAAAGGTTTGCTGACCAAGGAAAGCTGGAAGCAAGAGAGGCCTGCTGTGAATCTCTGTAAGTCTGTACAGACACGCGAGAAAGTTCCTTGTCCCACCGGAGGGAGGCCCTGGGTGGGGAGCCACTAGGTTCAGTTATGGGCCCTTCCCTCTTCCATATTTCTGTTCATCACTTAGGTAAAGAAGGAATGCCTATCCCCACCTTCAGAAGAGACGAAACTGGCCGGGACAGCCATTATCCCAGAGGGCAAAAATAAATTTCAAAATGATCTTACTAAGTTAGAGAAGCCAGCCCAAATTACAGAATGAAATTTAACAGAGACCAATGCCAAGTTCTTCACTTAGGAAACAGATACAGGATGAGGGCCTGACTGCAGACTGAGTTAGAGTCAGAGTCTGATGTGGGTTCAAAAAAGGCAAATGGGATTTTAGGCTCCATCAACAGAAGTATGGTTTCCAAATCATGGTTAACAGTTCCACTTTATGTTGGTTTGTTCAAACCCTACTTACTGTATCCTCTTCTAGGCACCAGATATCATCGCAACAACAATAATAAAGTTATATATTATTATAAAATTAATTATATTTATTATAATTTTAATATAATAACAATCTAATATCCTGCTTTCTCTCCAGGAGTTTAGGGTGACTTCTATGGGGATTTCCCTTCCCTTTTTACGCTCTCAACACCCATTGTGGGCAGTCAGGCTGCATCAAAGGGCTGACCCACAGTCTCCCTGGGAACAGGGGAGAAATTAATTAGGTTGCATTCAAGCTTATTTTTGATGTAATAAACAAGCCACTACTCAATTATCCTTGACAGTTTAACCTCTCTGAATTTTTCCATGTAGTTAGTCCATAAAGAAAACACAGTAGGAAAAGTCAGTACATACATGCAGATATTCTTGAAAGCAATACTCACAAATGCTTTATACTATGGAAGTTGGCAAACAAAATGCACGCTTGGAGAAACGGGATCAGAGGAACCCATTCTAAGCCTCCAACCCATAGAAGGAAAGCACAACGTAAATTTATGAATGGAAAACCGGGAAAGAGAGAGAATGCGTGTCCAACCGATGACCGCAAGGACGGCCGCGGCAACAGCAGCTCGGAGGACGGAGCAGGTGCCGGAGCAAGAGCAGGAGACGTGCTGCACCTGGCAGGACGGCTGGAATGGCACTGCGGAGGCTGCCCCGGGAGGACAGCGCTCTCCCCCGCCACATTCCTGCAGAAGAGGCTAGCCAGCCCTGCCAACGAGCACGCGCTGGGGACCGCTGGTTCCAGGGCAAGTTTTATGTCAACCAGGGAGCTGCAGAACAGCCAGCCGAGGCAAGGGCGGTCTTCGGCGGTACGGCAGAGTGACCAGAGCGACGTGCCCGCCCAGCTCCAGGCCTCTTAACTTGAGGGCCTGTCCGCTGGTGATAGATGTCAGCTTTCACACACACACAAATAGTCATCAGTCTCCGGAGCGCCGTGCGTGCGCTAGCGAGGCCAGCTGCTCCGGCATCTCCATGGGGACTGCCAAAATATTAGTCAGGCAACTCCGCTGGGTGGGGGAGGGCTTGGCAAAGGGGATCCCAGCTACCTTCCAAGCTGCGTTTCTGATCAGATGACATCCCCACGTGTCTTTGCTGGCAGGAGCGAGGGGCCAGACTAACATAAAAGCAAGCAGGATGTGGGCACTCCCAGCATTCAGGATCCCAGCGATCCCTCTCCAGGAGGCGCTAGGATTCCCCCTCCCGTGCCTCACCCCCTTCGACTCCTCTCCCCAGCTTGCTTTGCTTGGCCATCCCCCGCCATGTGCAGCTTGGCTCGGTTGCTTCGATCACCCAGGGCTGTTTTCCCTCCTACTGGCACAATGAAGTTTGCAGTGCTGGAGCCAGACTCCTTTCCCGGAAGAATACGAGGAAGCTGGGACTGTACGCAAACCCAGCCTGAGCCAAAGTACCGGTGGCTGCAAGGCCCCAGAGCCCCACCTGGACAGGCGCCATGGCTTCCTAGGGGAGCTGCTGCTGCTGCTGCTGCTGCTGAGGGAGCCTCTGGACACACCAAGCTGGCACTGCTGCCCACGGGCTCTCTGCTGGGGGAAGGCTGTGAGCCTCTAGGCGTGGAATCAGTTCAGGCCCAGGACCCCAAGGAAAGGCCACGATCCCTGTGTGACCCTCCCTGTCTCTGCTCGCTGGAATCCCATGTCCCAGCGAGGCTGCCCTCAGCTTGCGAGAGGAGAGAGCCTGGCAAGAGGCCGGAAGGGAATTCCTCTGAGGCCAGGAACAAGCCAAGGCCTCGCTGGGGGGGGGGGGGGGGGGGGG